TTTGTTCAGGCGAAGTGGGCTCAGGCCGAGTGGGCTGAGGGAGAAGATTGAGTTAGCCCAAATGGTGAAGGGTCGTAAACAGATGAAGAGGACAAAAAGAACAGTCACGTGAGGTTCCTACAAGAGTGCTTTGATTTCACAAGCACCGAGAACTAAGACAGTGTCATAACAGTGGGGGTGGGGGGGGGGGGGGGGCACTGAAGGAAAAGAGTGGGGGAGTTCAACCAGGGGCCAACTTCAAGCTCCTCAGAGAAGCAGAGATGCAGGACAAGAGAGCTAATACTCCTTGTGCTTTCTAAGTGATGATAAGTATGGACCAGGCCATCTTTGCAAGGACCACACAGTCTAGGTCCTTATAGTTTGTGATGAGGAGACCGGCAACGAGGGATTAGGGGAAGAACCAAAAGAGGGAGAAGAGCACCTACACCTTAATGTGGCGGAAGTATCCCATAACTTATTGGTGGGATTTACTTCAAATAAGACCATGAAGGTGAGGAGGCAGATCAAGGAGTGGCCAGTGGTAGTCTTGGTGGATAGAAAGGCCACTCACAACTTCATTTCAAATCGGGTCGTGGATCAGTGGAAATTGAAATTGGTGGATACAGGAAGCTTTGGAGTTATAATGGGAACATTAAAGGTGGAGAAGAGTAGGGGGATTTGCAGTGGATTGGTGCTAACACTCCTGGGCCTACATATAAAGGAGGATCTTCTCCCCTAGGATTTGGAGAGCACTGATGTGATCCTAAGAATGAAGTGGTTGCAAAAGATTGGGGAGAAGAAGGTGGACTGAAAACTTTAATTATGGAGATTTAGGTGGAGGGAAAGAGGGTGGTGCTATAAGGAGATGTCAGCCTGTGTAGAACAATGATTTCTCTTAAAATCATAGTCAAGGTGATACAGGGAGATGAATGGACTACTTGGTGGAGCTACAAAGCCTTGAGAGGTCTAAAATTTGGAGGCGCTCGAGGTCACTAAGTGTGTACTTTAGCTTCTATAGCAATTTCCTGAGGTTTTTCAGCAGCCTAGCAGAATACCGCCACCCAAGGAGCACGGCGTCATCACCTTGAAAGAGAGAACTTTTATCAGTGTCAAACCGTACTAGTACCCACAGATTCAGAAGGATTAGATAGTGAGGCTCATCAGAGGGATGCTTGAGATGGAGATTATCAAGCTCAATGTGAGACCCTTTTCCAACCATGTTTTACAGGTGAAAAATGGATGACAGTCGGAGGTTTTGCATGGACTATTGGGCTCTAAACAAAGAAACTAGGCCAACAAGTTTTCTATCCCCGTGATTGATGAGCTGCTGGATGAACTGTTTGGGGCGATCTTCTCGAAGATTGATCTAAAGTCAAAGTACTACCATATCAGAATGAAGTTGAAGGACGTGCATAAGACAGCTTTTAGGACTCATGAGGGTCACTTTAAGTTTTTGTAATGACTTTTGGCCTTACGAACGCTCCAGCCACTTTTCAGTAACTCATGAACTGAGTTTTTCAACCCTACCTCAGGAAGTTTGTCTTGGTATTTTTTGATGACATCTCCATCTACAGTTGTACGGAAGCATAACAAGTGTGTCACTTGAGGATTGTACTGGAGACTTTGAGAGCGTACGAGCTGCATGCCAACCTAAAGAAATGTTCCTTTGCACAGTCATAGGTGGAGTACCTATGACATGTGGTGAGAAGAGCAGGGGTAGTAGAAGACCAATCCATGATAGAGAATATGTTAGATTGGCCTTTACCTAAGAACCTAAAGGAGTTGAGAGGATTCATAGGTCTTACTTGGTAAAACTAAAAGTTTGTGCGAGGTTATGGCACGATAACATGGTCATTGACCGAGCAGCTAAAAAAGATTAGTTTTAATTGGGGGAAAGCAACAACATAGGACTTTGAGCAGCTAAAGAAAGTCATGACTAACGTGCCAGTATTAGCAATTCCTAACTTCAGCAGACCATTTTTGGTGGAAATGGATGCATCAAGTTATGGACTAGGGGCAGCACTCGTACAGGATCATCGGCTCATTGTTTATTTCATCTACGTAATATTTTATCTAAAAATACAATTTTTTTGAAAAATTTACCCCGGAACCTAATTCATTAGAACTTTCCTCTAAAAAAGATTGGAGAGGACATGGCTCGAATTTTCGAAGCCCGCATATTTCATATCTGGGTAGTGTCTTATCTAAAATTCAATCAACTCGTTTAGCATGTGCAGGGGTTGAAATTACGTCAATTTTCTTGTACCGGCACCCGAGCAATATGGGTCTATTTTCCTTTATGTTAGGATATTATGGATGTGCTCGCACTGTCCATTTTACAAACAATGGTCGTCTAAGCAAGTTCACATATCGCCGCACATTTGATTTGACATTTTTTATCATGCTCGCTCGATCTGCGTTCGAGAGGTATCATTTGGCTAATTTCGATGTTCTTGATGCAACAATGCCATCCATTTTGCAATTGAAGGTAATTTCAAGTTGTTTCGAGTATTGTCGGTGTATGCCTTATCAGCTTATGTGACACCTTGTCGATCGATCGTCGACCTCATCAAACATCCTTATCTAGCTCATTAGATATATTTTAAGGGTCAACATGTAAATGCAATCCAATTGATTTCCATTGCTCTGCAGGGATTTATTATGCAGGCATTCCAAATCCTCCTAGCTGAATCCATCCTTTTAAAGCAATTCCATGATAATGGTGCTTCAGCTTTTACGTGCCAAGTGAAATAAATTTAGCGGTTGCTTTTAGGTGAAAACTTGGTGTTAAATATTTGCATGTTTTTTTCTTTTATCTGGTTTAAAGTAAAGCTATATTACTTCATATGTCATATCCTTTGCAATCAGCTGCGAAGTTAAGGCGTCAAATTTGCAGCATTTACTATGCAGAAATTTACATAGCAAGCATTCAAGCTAATTTGATTTTGTTAAAATGTTACAAAGTTTGAACATGGAATAATCCTCTTTTCATTTGAAAGAAACCTTCATGAAAACTCAATGGCTTTTATCACAAGACAAAAAGAAATAAATTAAATGGCAAAAATAATACACTTCAAGGCTTATTAGGTTATATAGCATCTCAGTTTTACTGCATCAAGCAGTTCTAAATTCCATTTATCAAACAACAACAACAACAAGCCTTTATCTTAGTACATGGGGTAGACTACATGAATCTTTTTTCTCCAATTGAAACCTAAGAAAGAAAGATCATTACTAATATTTTCTAACCAAGTTTATTTTTTTATCTACCGCTATCTTTAATAACATAAGCCAAATCTAATACATCTACTCACCTAAACGGGTCATTAGAAGGCCACCATTTTATGTGAACAAACCATCTAAGATGACGCTGTCTAACCTTATCTTCCACTAGAGCTACTCCAACCTTTTCACGTATATGGTCGTTTTGTATCTTGTCTCTGAGAGTAAAGCAACTCATCCATCTGAACACCCTCATCTCTGCAACACTTAATATTATGCTTCTCTTTTAATGACCAACATTTTGCAACATAAAGCATTGCAGGTCCCAGCACTATCTTAGACGTTTCCCTAAAGTTTGACGCAAACTTTTCTATCACACAGCAAACCCCATGCATTCCTCCACTTCAACCATCCAACTTGAATTCTACTAATCATATCCACATCTATTTCACCATCACTCTAAACAATAGACCCAACATGCCCAAAGTCACCTTCCCCCCACTACATCCATTACTACTAAAATTACACACCATATATTCAGTTTTAAATGTAATCGTGAAAATCATTAGACTCTAAGGTTGGCCTCCATAATTCAAGTTTACCATTAACTCTCTCTCTAATCTTATCAACAAGAAGAATATCATTAGCAAAAAGCATACACTATGGTACAACCTCTTGCAAATGTCTAGTGAGAACATCCATGACTAAAGCAAAAAGATATGGGCTTAAGGCTGATCTGGGTTTAAGGTTGATCCTTGATGTAATTCAACTGAAATAGAAAAAAACTTAGTCAAACCACATTGTGTTTGAACACAAGTAACAACACATGCATACATATCTTTAATGACTTGAATATAAGTATTATTAACCCCTTTCTTTTCTAGAACTCTCCATAGCACTTCTCTTGGAACTTTATCATATGCTTTCTATAAATCAATAAATATCATATGTAGATCTTCCTTATTCTCTCTATACTTCTCCATCAAACCTCTCAATAAATGTATAGCTTATATAGTAGACCCACTCGGCATGAAAACAAATTGATTTTGAGAAACATTAGTATCACGTCGTAACCTTCTCTCCATAACTAACTCCGATAGTTTTAAAGTATGACACATTAACTTAATTCCTCTATAAATCCCACAATCTTGTACATCACCTTTATTCTTAAAAATATAAACCAACACACTCATTCTCTAGTTATCTGACATCTTTTTAGTCTTCAAAATATATTAAAAAGTTTAATAAGCCAAGAAACTCCTTCATCCCTTAAGTATTTTCACACCTCTATTGAAATATCATCAGATCCAACAGCTTTTCCGCACTTCATTTTATTTAAAGTCTCTCTAACTTCGGTTTTACTAATACGCTGAAAAAAAACAAAAAAAAAAAAATTTTTCATTTAGGGTGCTAAATGCACTAAAGTCGATCATAGTCTCAAAATATTCATTGAAAAATTTAGCAAAATATCGCATCCACCATTGTTGAATATCTTCTTCAAATAAAAGCACTTTTTGATCTTCATCCTTAATACACTTCACTTGAACTAAATCCTTGCTACTCATATCTCTTCGTTTGTCCAATTTATATATATTTTGCCCTCATTAGTATCTAATTTATTATATGAATCATTAAAAGCTAAAATCTTTACCGCACATTTCCTTTCTTAGACTCCTTAAGGATCTTTTTATATATTTTCCAATTCTCAAAGTTTTAACATCCAAACCAATTTTTTTAACAATACTTCTTATTTTTTACCTTTTCTTGCAAGTTTTGTTCCCACCACCAACCATTATCAAAAATAGAAAAAAAAATCAGAAAAAAAGGAAATGAAAAAAATGACAGTGAAAAAATAAGGCATTCCTCACCAATGGCAAAGTACCATAAGTTCCACCGTAAGCAGAGTTCAACCCAGCTTGATTAGCATCACGATGTTGTTCCCTGCGCCTTTTTTCAGCTGCATACACAAATGAACAATAAGAATATTAGAAATTTTAAAGAAAATAAATCAAATAAAAGCCATTTTTTGACAAAAAAGAGCTTCGCTGAGTACACCTGTTAAGAAAAGAAAAAGGAACTTGGATTCCAACTTTACATGATCATCAATAAAACAAATTACTAAACACCGTAATAGCATCATTACCTATCTTTAGCATGCAATTTGAAAGGGTCAAGATTAGTGTCCAATAGAAATGGGAATTCAAAAAATAGGCAGTCTGCTGAGTGGTATTAACTATGTTTGGCATATGTGCACATAATCATGCTTCTTCTCACCTGTCATCACTTAAAACTTAACATTCAGCAGCCAAAGTTGATTCGGGAATCTAAAACTTCGAACAATGCAACATCATTATGAGGGTATAGTGATATGTTGGGGGGCCCACGGCCAAAAAGAGGAGCTGAATGTTGGGGGTATTATTAGTAGAATTCAAGTTGGATGGTTGAAGTGGCGGAATGCATTTGTCCTATTGAGTGATAGAAAAGTACCCTTCAAAATTAAGGGAAAATTTTATAAGATGGTGGTGAGACTTGCAACGCTTTATGCCATAGAACGTTGGCCATTAAAAGAGAAGCATAAAATTAAGTGTTGCAGAGATGATGATGCTCAGTTGGATGTGTGGTTTTACACTTAAAGATGAGGCTCAGTTGGATGCATCGAGTTTTGGGTTCGGAGCAATACTCATGCACAACCAAAGACACGTGGCCTATTTCAGTCAGGTGTTGACGGCCAGAGAAATACTCAAGTCAGTCTATAAGAGGGAGCTTATGACAATTGTGTTGCCATTCAGAAATGGCAGCTTATTTATTGATAAGACATTTCATCGTTAGAACAAACCAGAGGAGTTTGAAGTATTTTTTGGAGTGGAGAATGATCGCAAAGGAGCATCAAATGTGGCTTTCCAATTTAATGGGATATGACCTCTAGATTCAGTATTGACCTGGAGTTGAAAACAAAGCAGTAGATGATTTATCGAAGTGCATGGGGGAGCCCCAAATGATGGCATTGTTTGTACCCTTAGTAGTTGATTGGGAAGCATTGAGGAGAGAGCAATTAGGATGTGGGGTTGAGGAAAATTAGGGAGCTGATGAAAAAAAAAAGGACAGCCATCCCGGATATTTAGTGGTGGGACAGAAGTTGCATCATAATGGGCGATTTGTGCCTCCAAATACCTCTTCTTATATTCCCTTCTTACTTCAAGAGTTTCAGGGGACAACCATTGGGGGTATTCGAGGGACAAAACAATATATCGCCTACTTACTAAAGAGCTGTATTGGGAGGGTATGCAGAAGTATGTCGAGAAGATGGTGGCTAGTTGTGATATATGTCAGAGGCACAAGTATTTAGTTATGTCACCAATAGGGCTACTACAGTCAATAGCTCTACAAGAAAAGACGTGGGAGGATATGACCATAGACTTCATTGAAAGGCTGCCAAAGTCAAAAGGATACACTATGATACTAGTGGTAGTAGATTGATTGAGTAAGTATGTCGATTTCATTCCCCTTCGCCACCCCTATACAGCAATATCAATAGCGCAGATTTTCATGAAGGAGGAGATAAGACTACATGGGATACCATAATCTATTGTAGTAGATCGAGACAAGATCTTTCTGAGCCAGTTCTAAAACAAATTGTTCAATATACAAGGGATTGTTTTGAAAAAGAGTACTACTTATCATCCTTAGATGGTGAGAAAGACTGAAGTGGTCAATTGTAGTGTGGAGGCTTATCTTTGGTGCTTTTTATTGGATACACCAAAGTTGTGGGCAAAATGGTTGGCATGGGCAAGGTATTGGCATAATAGTTCCTATCATTTGTCAGCTCAGACAACACCATTCAATGTGTTATACGAAAGAGATCAGCCTCACATGATATATTATGGATAAGGAAGCACACAGGTGGCATCAGTAGAGCAATACGTGGAGGATAGAGACATGACCTTGGTGGAGCTGAAGGGGAATTGTTGAGAACTCAACAAAGTATGAAAAGGAAAGCAGATGCACACAAGAAAGACATTCAGTTTAAGGTGAGGGATAAGGTTTACTTGAAGTTCAACCCTACAGCCAAGGAACCATTGCACGGAGAAGGAATGAGATGTTATCACCCCATAGTTTCGGAGCGCATCAGCACCATGGCATATCGCCTACAGTTACCACCGTCGTTAGCCATCCATCTGGTGTTTCATGCGCTCTAGTTGAAACGTGTCATAGGAGAGCACATTCAATTTTATATACTTCCCCCGACCTTGACGATAACTTGGTGTTGTAAGAATCTTTGGAGGTTGAAGGAGTGTGCCAGGGAGTAAAAGGAAGAAAAAATAAAAGTATTGATTAGGTGGAAGAACCTATCAAAGTACGAAGCCATGTGGGAGTCCTACGAGATTATTCAGCATCAGCTCCCTTCATTCCACCTTGAGGACAATGTGGCACTTTTGTTGGGTGGGAGGGGGGGTATTGATAGATCGGCAGTCAAGGATCTGAAAGGGAGAAGAATTGAGTGGTTGTAAAGGGAGGAAAATTAAAGGAGGGGGTTTTAAAGAGAGGATAATTAGAGGGGGTTTGGAAGAGAGAAGAATTAAAAGAGTGGATCACTTATCAAAGGAAATAATGGGGGGAAAACATGGAGAGTTATATTAGGCTTTTGGTGATATTATTTTACTTCATGCAATTTTTTTGAGTATTCATGCTGCCCACTATTTTTGTGAGGGATTCTAGCGATGTCTAGAGTTTAGGAGAGAAAATTCTCCTCTCGAAAGAGGACCATTGTATCTTGCTTGTTCGTGTTTGATTTCTTATCAAGAAAATCTATTCGGTTTGCTAAAATTTAATGTTTGTTAGTTGATTTTTTGGTGTTCAAGTCCTAACAGAGTTTAAAGTTTCTATTGGAGCAGATAATGATGATTGAGTAGCATCAAAGGTGGTTATCCAATTTACTTTGATATTATTTTGAGATCTAATATTTCCCAGGACTGAAGAATAAGTCAGTGAATGAACTATTGAGGAAGATGAACGAACCAAAGCTGGCAACTCTATCAATATCTATGGTCCTAGATTGGGAAGCGCAAAGACAGGAGATTGAATACGATGAAGCTTTTTGGAAGATCAAAGCAGAGTTACTACAGGACCCAACAGTCATCTTGGCTACATGCTGAGGGGGGCCTCAGCTGCTAAATCAGAGGCAATTCATCTTACAAAGGACATAGGGATACATTCCCAAGCTGTTGTAGGAGTTTTATGGCAGCTCATATGGAGATGGTGCGCTTACATGGATTTTCAAAAATCTGCGATAGCCATATGGCTAGGTGGAATCAGGGTAGCATGAGGGGAAAGTTCAGCCCCTTACAGGGACCCAGGGGACCTATTATTCATTATGTAAGGAGGAGAAATCAAGGGGAAGCGGTTTAGGAAGGCTTTAATTTAGAAAAAGATGACTAATTTGAATTAGGAAAGATTTTATTTAGGGAAAAATGACTGATTTTGATTCAGATTTTGGAAGGAAGTAGCAAAGATTATATTAGGGTTAATTGGGCTGTTTTACATTCATCATGAGATTGGGTTTGTTTTATTTCTTTTTTTAAGTTGTTCCTAGTGGTGGCTAATGTTTGTAGGAGAGTTGATCTACCTATCGAATAGTAGATCAATTATATATTTCGTTATTGTTAGAGTAATCAAAAATCAACCCCCATACTTGTGTTCCTATTATTTCTTCATATTTAATTTGTTGTCTTTGCTTCCAAGTCGTATCAAATTTCAGCAATAATTAAATTCACATTTCAAAGAAAAACCTAACATGCATCTAGTTTTATAGCATTTCAATGACATACACAACTAGAAACTAAACAATTTAAAATACAAGAACACAAAAAGAAGCCAACCAAAAAGGGAAGAACCAAGCCTCAAAGCTATAGGAGTCCTACCAAAAGTGGTACTCATACTTATGAAGTGCTCAAAAAATACAAAGCTAACAAGCACACATAAGAACGAAGAAAGCTAAAACTTATTCCGATATTCTCTCTCTAAAGAATTTCATATGCCTTAGTGGTCCTCTTTATAGACTTCAAACGAGCCAAAGAAAGAAACCTCAAAAAAATTGTGTAAATCTACTCAAAAACATTAGGTTTTAGAGAATTCAGCACTTATTTTAGTAATATAAACTTTTCCATAAACTCTACTTTTAGAAATACTTGAGGATCCATACAAAAGTAGGAATTTTTTCCCAAAATAATTAGCTTCAGATGACCTAGACGCAAGATTGGTTGGAATAGCAGGAGGAATATGGTTGAATTGTGAATTAGCGGAAAGACACAAGCAAAGGGTGGAAAGCAACAAGGCAGAGAAAGTAGACAATGGTAACAGTGGTAATATAGCAAAAAACACAAGGCAATAAAAGTAGCAAGAAATTGAGGTAGGCAACAGTAACCACGTGAGAAAGGCAACAACGACAACCATCAATAAGGATAGCTAAAACACATACATAAGAGCAGTAAAGAAAAAAACCAATGACAGGGAAAATTGCAACAAAAATCAGTCGAGATAGCAATTCCTATGGTGCGAAAGAGTAACCAGGAGAGAAAAGCAACAATGACAAACCATCAATAAGGATAGCAACAATACATAAATAAGGGCAGTAGAGAAAAAAAAAACAATGATAGGGAAAATTGCAACAAAAATTAGTTGAGATAGCAATGCCTAAATGTGGTAATAATTTTGAACTCTATTTGTACAAATTGGAATTCAATGGGCTAACTTGAAGCCATGCAGTCATCACTTGGACCTAACAGGCTTTTCAATATGCTAGAGAATACTTATCATTCATATAGGAGTCGACCATTGGCATGTCTCTAAAATTAAAATGAACATGAAAATAAAAACTAAGAATCAATGCACACAAATTGCATTCCAAATAAACATAAACATTCTTATTTGTATTATTAAGCTGCATTTAGAATAATTCAG